GTATTGAATTAATTATCATACAATCATACATTTTTTGATGGGATATCAAAGTTTATCGCCTATTTATTGATTTATTTAATCTCCTCATTTGTCTGCTCGTATTGGGAAATAAGAAGTTGGTCAGTTTTGGGCGTTTCACTGTTAGACGGCGTTCGTTCGAATGCAAGGGAGAAAAAAAAAATGTTGTTGAAAGGAATGAGTATAAGCAAGAGAAAATTTCTCTCGGTAAAAGGCAATGTTACCAAAAATACACGATGCCACCCAACTGAGTATAATTAATATTTAAACCTCGTCGTGCTCTTTCGCTCCGTAATTGCTCTAGCCATGTGAGAGAGCGAAATGGCTAGCTTTCAGGAACAAAAACAATAACGTCTCAAACGTATGCTTACGTTTTCGCTCAGAAATATCATTTTTCGACATTTGCAGCCGTCCTGAATCTTTAAAGCGGCTTCAGCCTGCTCAAGCCCTGAGGGTCATTGTTATTTTGTTGTCGGTGACCTTTTGCAGATTGTTTTAACAGGTTTTCTCCATTTATATTTAAATCACCACAGCATGTAAACTTGTCCTGCAATCTCCCCCCGTCTGTTTGAATTAAATTTCAAATGGTATGTGATGTGGATTCAAGATGTTTCACTTGCCGGCGGTTTTAAGATTGGTAATTGAAAGCAGAACAGTGGGTAGCTATACCAATGACTGGAGAAAAGCCCTCTCAGTTATCCAAGGATGAAGGGAACATGTAATGATATCAATCACAACACCACGATTTTTCGTCGAGTTAAAAAACTAAATAGCTGTTTACCAAAGACAAGTAGTTGAAGATGGTTCTGTTTCGCCCGTTTTTCCTTATTTTGTCAATTTTGAAATCAGTCTTGAGAGTTTGCATTTGGCACGGGAGAACACAACGCTGGCGAAAGATACGAGGGTAATCAACTGGGTCTCGATGTTAAATTGCACGAAGTGTCCTCAAGCTTTGATTTGAAGATAAATGCTAAAAAGTGTAATGAAAACTCAAAACAACTTCAGATCAAGCATCAAATGCGGGATGAAAATAATGTGCGAATCTACATCTGTAATACAAACGCTATCGGCAATTTTTCCACCTCCAGCCAAGAACATTTGGTCAAAAGCTTAGGAAAGTAGTAAATT